CCACCCCCTTTTTCTGTTAAACTAGAACGGTTCAGCCAAGTCCGGAGCGCCGCCCCAGCCAGCTGTATCCGCCAGAGGTGGCCTTCCAAAGGATGCTGGTGATGGAGCTGCGGAGCCTTGACCATTTCCTAGCCGGGCACCCTGACTTCTGTCCTTTTCTGGGGCCGGTGGCTGGACTCTGACCAACTCCCTTCACTAAAGGGGCCAGTCTTCACTGGCAGTTGCTGGTACTTGGCCCTCAGCCTGGGATGGCAACTCTACTAGCAGCTGGGTTCACTCCCACGTTGTCCTGGCTGAAGGCAGTACTGTGTTTTGAAATGTAGCCAACGAATATCCAGTCTTGAGGACTCGGATTCCGGCAGGCCAGCAGTGCTGGCCAGAGTGGTCTGGCCTGCTTTGGGGGTTCCAGGTGGTATTCCATGTTCATTTCATGCTTTGGGGGCTCTCTGCCCCACAAAACACTTCAGCAGAGTCTTGATTAAAAGGAAACCTGCAGACTCCTGGTGACCGATCTTTTCCTTTCTGTCCCCCCTTCCAAGACTTGATGGCTGGGCAATGAGGAGTGGGGAGAGAACCAGGGACAGGGACGGGAAGTAATACCACATATACTACCAGATTTAAATAAGCATTTAATTAAGATTTCATTAGTATTTAATATTGCTTTTTCAATTCCAAAAAGTTAAATTTTCACTTCATAGCAGATATTTTAAAGTACAATATTAAGTTTATACAAAATGAGCAATTAAGCAAACACCATTATTTCACATTCTTCAAAAATACAAATTTGTATTTATTTATTTTTTTGGGTTTGGAAGTTTCTTCCTTTGGAAGTACTGAACCTGTAACGTTTTCATATCGCTCAGTGGAAGTCCGTTGTTCCCATGTTTTACATTTAAAATAAATTTGACACTTGTACATAATCCAAATAAAACTATTTGGGTCTTAAAAACTTGTCACCAAGACCACTGGCCAATGATTAGTGTGTGTTAGGAAAGAGAATTTGTGGCTTCTTCTGGCTGGGTCTGAACCAGATAGCCAGAAAAGCCTGTTTCCAGCCCCCTTCCCCAAACTGGAACTAGGGAACAGTTGCCTGGAACTCCAACCTCAATGACATTTTCTCCAAATGACAACAAAAGATGCAGACTGTTGAATCAAACAGCTCTTGGGAGGCCTGAGAACACGCGCTGCCAGGGCAGACGAGCCTCTGGCTTGGCACCACGAGGGCAATGGGAATATTGCAAAAACACCCTAGGTTTTGGTGGAAAAAAGTTTTACGAAAAAATTTCCTGTAAAAAAAAGTAGAAACTGCATTGACTTGAGAAAGTGATGTGACATCACTTCTTTTTGGCCCAGTAGGCCACCACCAAAGGAGCAGTGCATTGTTTTTAAATCCACTTCTAGAAAAAGCTTGTACGATAATATGCCTTGACAGATCCAATAACTTGTATTTTCAGTGTAGACTGAGAAGTCCTCTTGTCACCAGGAGTAACAGTGAGAAACGCCCAAGCTAATGATCGACACCACCACCACCAAGGGCTGGGGCATAGGAAACGAGACCCTTTTATCTCTGCCCCAAGAATATGCCAGAAACAGGCCAGAATGACCAATCAGAAATATGTATCATCTGGTTTTGTGGCTGAACCCCTTCCACCTCAAACAAAGATGGACAGTTTCCCGTCTACGTCACAGCAGAACTGCTTGGAAACTGCATCTGTGGAAATCTTGCTCTGGCTGAAGTGTATTTAAAATGCCTCTGGTCTTCCGCAGGCATTTAAGATTAGGTGGAAGCCTGTGAGGGAGATTATTAGTGGCTTTATTACTCAATTTGATGAAGCCTGGCAGTCTGCTTTGAACCAACACAGGTGGTGTAGAGAGCAGTACAGAAATGGCTTGTATTGCCCACTCCTTTCTTCCAACATATTTCTGATTGGGGGTGTTAAAAAGAAGCTGTAAATGAGCAACAGTGGTGCGTTCCACAAATCAATAGTTTCAGTGATGCTGGAGAAGCCGTTACCTTTAATGGATGTGATTATAAATAAGAAAGTCTAGAAGGTGCCAGCTTTTTACCAAGAACAACCTGTCTGTTCCTCCCAGGAATCATTTTGTCATGGTGAAGAGGGGAAAGATAGGGATTGAGAAGCGGTAGAAAGGGACTCAGCAGTCACCAGAAAACAGCTGCAGCAGTTCCTCGGAGGGCCTGAGGGGGCGCCCGGGGCACACAGGGAAGGCTTGCATAGATTGAGCAGCTGCTGAGATGGAGGATAGTGTCTCCCTATGGACAGCTTCAGCACAGGGCTGACGAGCAGGAAAAACCGGCTGGGCCAGGGCCACATGGGATAACGACTGTCAAGCTACGCATATATTGCACCAAAGTAAGTGCTTTTCTTTTCACACCTCAACTTTTTATTCTGAGCAAAATATAAAACTTTGTGGAAAGTATATATATGTATATATATACATACACAACAGAAATTGCAGCAATTGGGTTAAAGATAAAGTAACCTAAAGTGCTTTTATTTTATTATTTCTTTAATATACCAATATGAGGTCTTGCAAATTTGTCCCTCTGAACACATTCAGCATCATACAAAGCCTCGGGAAAACCTCATCAAACTCCATTACCCCACCAGTCCACTGCCTTGACTTGGAAAACCAACTTTTCCCATGTTCTAACTCTCGGGAAGGGAAGCCCCTTGCCTTCTACCTAGAGGTCCCCACATCTCAAGGCCTCTCCTTGGCGTTGTACCATGATCTTCTAAACCAGAATAAAAGTCAATAAATGACACTACTCCAGTCACCAAACCAGTGCTGCCCTATGAAGTTGGCCAGACCCTGTCAAGGAGACTGAGCCACCTTCCCTCAACCTTGTCCTCCACTCTGGGAAGGGCCCCATTTATAAGGCAGTTTGGTGGGACTAAGGTTACCTGGTGACCTCCTAAGGCCACCAGCTCCACTCTCCACTCCTGCTGTGGACTGGTCTCTTAGAAGGGGCTAAACTGGAGATGCCAGTGGTAGCCCAAGTATGATCTACAGGCTGACACTGGTGAAGGCTACCACGGGAGGAAGAAAGGGTTTAAATTCACCTGCCAGAATTCATTCCCCTGAGAAGCCATGCGCTCCATGAAGGGCCTTTCTGGCTCTAACTTAGCCAGGGGGTTCCCTCTTCTCCAAGGTCCTTGGCATTAGAGGCTGGGCTTCTGAGAGGAGGAGGAGAGGAGAGCCGGCACAGCGCGGCAGGAAGTCTGTCTTCCCTGTGGAACACGCCTGGCCCTGCACTGCTATTGATTCTAAGCGCATTCCTCAACTTCCAAAGCTATTCAGATCTACAAGTCTCATGTTCTGCAGTCCCCCACAAAGAAAAATACTTAACTCCTTCACCCGGAAACTCATCTGCTTACAAGCATCTTCCACACCCCTCAATATGGAGAGTAAAAAGTCAGTGACCCAAGAGCACAGCCCTAGCTAACCAAGAAGCCATATTTAAACCATTAAAACCTTCCACACATCCTCCCTGGGCTCCTGTTTCCTATGTCAGCTCCCAGGTCATCACTTTCGGGTCCCAGTCACTGCTCTCCTCAGAGGTTAGAAAACAGCAAGAGCCTGAGTACAAAGCTTCCCGTGGGTGCAAGTGCCAAAGACACTAGAGACAGCCAAAGACAACTTGCATCTAAGCAGCTGGTTCCTCAAGGAGGCTTAACCACTGTGCTAACAAAGGGCTCCTCCTATTTTATGGATTACTGCTGAGGCCTACGGTTGCCCAAACCTACCAGCCATTTGGGGAGAGACGGTACATAGAATGTCATTAAGAAATTCACACTCCTGGTCAACTCCTGGGTGGGAGACCAGCTGCTTGTATCTGTACCCATTTCTCCCCATTACTGCTGCCATGACTCTTGGTCAACTGTCTCTAAATACCTCGCCTTTAGACAAGGGCCTTCTAATAGAACACCATCCTGGCTGGCTCTGAGGGAAGGCCCAGACAGCAGGAGGGCAGCCCACACACCTCTCTCATTGTCTTGTTTGGGCACGAGACCTTGCGCCTTGCAGCAGACCCTGGACACAGCTAGCCACTGAGCTTCCCAAGCACCAATGGTGAAGAACAGCAACTCCCATTCATTCTCCTATGGATTGTACTTATATCTGAAGAGGCAGTAACCTGGAGCCAAAGGCAGGCAGATGAATATAATTCTATACACTAATAAAAAAATCCTATAACACAACTTAATGAAACATTTCAAACGAGGTAACTGACTGCAAGCTTCAGGCCTTTTGGTGGAAGGGGAAATTTTTTTTTATTTTACCCTGAGTAGAAGATCATCGTTTTAGTTTTTTTTTTTTCCTTTTTGTTTAGAAAATCACATCCTTGTTTGCACTGTACGAGGCTATATGCAAAATCCAGAGATGTGAGGAATGGAGATGGGAGGGAATACCAAAAGCCTGGCTAGAACGGGGTTCCACCTGCTACTTCATCCAAAGACAGGCAGACTGGCAGCCACTGGCCATAAGCCTTGTGTTCACTTTAGGAGAAAATAGGGTGCTTCCTCAGGAGGGGTGCACTCCAAGCTTCCAGCCCTGACAAGCACTGAGCAATAGGAAGAGCCAAGAAGGCAAAGACTGTGGCTTTGCTAGAGCCAGCTCTAGCGTATTAGCAACAGGGATGTCAACATTTGCCTCAGGCCCTGCAGAACCACGCATCACTATGGCCAAGGGGCCTGAAGCTGCCCACAGGGATTGAGCAGGATACAGGACAGACCCCTCTGCATCTACTCCAAGCTCCACAGAAACAAAGCGATAACAACAAAACAAGCTCACAACTCTCACCTGCCCATGCCACTACCCGCTTCCGCAGAGCGGCGGTCTGGTCCTCCAGACAGGAATTGCCTCAGATTAAAAAAGACACAGAGGGAGGAGCAACACCCAGCACACTGAACTCTCCTGCCCAATCCACAATGACCCCAGTGCAAATGATGGGCAGTACCAAATTGATGGAAACCACACCCTTTCATTTAGAACTTTTATGCATACCAGTAACCTTAATTTCCAAGTTCACATAACAATAAGCAAAAGTGACATACAGTGCAGCCAGACAGTTCACTTATAACTTAGCTTTTTTTTTCTTTTTCTTTTTTTTTCCTCCAAAGATCAGTTCCTTAAAATGGATGTTCCTGGGATATGAGTAAAGAAAATATGTCTGAAAGGTGAGGCTTTCAGATGGCAGATCTCTTCATCCTTCCAATTTCTCACCCCATGATGGCAGCATCACCCGACACTTCCTGCTCACCCTGTTCCTGTGGGGCATGCACACAGGCCCTTCCCTCAAGAAGCTGCTGGCCAGGCCCATCTCCTCTACCCTGCAGTAGTGCTTCACGTGAACCGGATTGGATGGGGTGTTCAGGCTCTGGAGGGACAGGAACTCTGACACATCCATGGCACTTAACATTTCAGAGGGTCTGAGGAGCCTCAGCCTGTCTGCTTTGCTCACAGGAAGAGGGTCCAGTGGAGGAGGAGGGGGCGGGGTGAGGGAGAAGTCTAGGGTGGCAACTGCAGGTTGGGCCCATCAGGAGGCTGGGGGTTCAGCTCTGGAGGGGGTGGGGAAGAACAGCCCTTTTTCCGGCTGGCTGCCCGCTCCTTCGCAGAGTCCCGGCACGCACACTGACACTGACAGGCCTCCTCTTGTTTGATGATGATCACAGGAACACTGAGGCCAATCTGCTGGACAGAGCTCCCTGTGAGAGAGGTGAGAGAGACTGCTCTTCAAGTGGCCAGGAGCAGAAGCAAGATGGGCGAGGGAACACGGACTAGGGAGAACGGAGTGCTAGGGAGACAGGCGTGATGGGTGGGATGCCATGCTTTGGGCTTTGCTATGCTTTAAATTGGACCAGGTTCTTTCCCAGGAAAAAGCCTGTCAGGTATTCCTGTAGCCCTTTATGATGCTTCCTTCTTAGGAGAGCCACCCACACAATCTAGATGCACTCTGCCTCTCTTTCTGCTGCCTGTCTGTGCAGTCCATAGCAAATGCCTCTCTTCTCCTCTTCAGATTCTGGGCTCTTCCTTTTGTCTTAACTGGCGGGCAGCTGCTGTTCTTCGCAAGAATTATTCTCATCTTTCAAGGTCCAGCTGATTCTCTGCTCTCCTCCTGCCCCAGGTGGTGCTCCCTGCAGGCTGTGCAAATGACTAACCTGTGGCAGCCAGTGCTGCGCACCAGGCACATGCACACCGCACTGCTGCTCGCCTCCTGCACCCCTCTCCACACTGCACAGGACCTGCTCAGGCCCCCAGCTTCTTACGGCCATGTTTGACTGGTATGTGCACACATTCGTATCCTGTCTCAGTTCACTATCCCATGTGTTATGCACACATGTGCTCTGTATCCTTTCTCAGTTCGTTATCACGTGTTTTATGCATGCATGTTCTCTGTATCCTTTCTCAGTTCACTATCCCATGTGTTATGCACACATGTGCTCTGTATCCTGCACGCATGTGCTCTGTATCCTTTCTCAGTTCACTATCCCGTGTATTATGCACACATGTGCTCTGTATCCTTTCTCAGTTCACTATCACATGTATTACGCACACATGTGCTCTGTATCCTTTCTCAGTTCACTATCACATGTATCATGCACACATGTGCTCTGTATCCTTTCTCAGTTCACTTTCACATGTATTACGCACACATGTGCTCTGTATCCTTTCTCAGTTCACTTTCACGTGTATTATGCACACATGGGCTCTATACCTAGCCAGGTTCTGTGTATAACAGATCTGAAGGCCAGTGAGAGGACGCGGGGTGGGATCGGTTCTCAGAGAGTTTGCCTACAAGTTCACTTACAATCTTGGGAGAGTCAGTGAATCTCTTTGGGTCCCAACTTTTTTGTTTGTTTTTTAAAATGGTTTCTTGGGGCTGGAGAGATGGCTCAGAGGTTAAGAGCACTGGCTGCTCTTCTATAGCTCCTGAGTTCAATTCCCAGCAACTACATGGTGGCTCACAACCATCTGTAGTGAGATCTGGTGCCCTCTTCTGGCATACATGGAGTGCTGTATACATAATAAATAAATAAAATCTTAAAAAAAAATGGTTTCTCTGTGTAGTCCTGGCTGTCCTGGAACTCATAAAGATCCGCCTGCATCTGCCTCCCGAGGGCTGGGATTAAAGACGTGTGCCACCACTACCCAAGTGGGCCTCAATTTTTATCTCTCCTTCCCTTTACCCTTATTCCACTCCGTTATTTAGTCTACCTGTCACTGCAGGATTTTACTAGACGGGCCTAGAATTCACCACACAGCCCAGGCTAACGTGGAGCTGGATTCTCTCAGTCGCCCAGCCTTAGCCCCACAGTGCTGGCAGGACAGGCATGCACCACCATGCCTGGATCCAGGGTTAGTACAAAAAGAGAGCAAGTTTCAAGTGAAAGGCCCTGCTAGAGGACACAGCCCAGCTCTCGAATGCACGGACCCTCCAGCGCTGCTTAGGCTCTGCCCCGGTACTGCTGCTGACTGTAATTACAAAAGAGCTGGTGAACTAACAACTGCCCTCTTCAGCATTGACTGTGATCTAACCTTTCTCCCCTGCTTCTCCCTACAAGCTCTATCAACGGGAAAGCACTCGGACTAGGTAAAGAATGAAGCCCACATTTTCAGCAGCAGCACACCGGCTTCTGGTCTCCATGAGAACACGGGCTACTCAGTAAACAATGGAATGTCAACTTAATTAAGGCTGTCTCACGATTTAATAAAATAAAATAAAAAACCCAAAAAACAAAAAAACACCACAACCTTAAAAATGGAAGCAAGGACAAAGAGTCCAGAGTACTTTCTTTTAAAGCTAACATGGAATTACATACCTGTGCTACTGGCTACTGGTACTGCAGTGGTAAAATACACCTGCTCGACTTTCGATGCTTGCTGCTGAGGAAAACAAAACACAGCACAACAAAATCACACTTATGGCCACTGCAACAAAACCTCCCCCACTGTAGTGGTCACCCAAGAAGATACACAAGCCTCAGTGTTCAGGCATTTCTGTCCTGAAGGGTGCTCTGTTTGCACTGATATGAGGTCACTGTACTGTTTGATATTCCATGCTGACATTATAGCTAGCTTTGTCCCCATTACTTGGCTGCCTCCCAGCTGCCTAGTCCAGTGGATTGTATTTGTCCAAAGACTCCTCCGAGGCTGCTTTTCTCATGCAATGGCCTTCTTAGAGGGACTCCTGGGCAGCCTTGTCTATTCTAATTCTCTTGTGAGAGCAGGAAAGTTCCTTTATGCCCCCAGGGTGTAGACTGACCACCCAGGGCAGGCTAAGGCTATCTGTCTATCTATCATGAGCACACAGTACCCTAAAGGCCGTGGGTCTTGGACTTGGCTAAACCAGATTTGTGTCCAGGCTCTATCACCTGTCAGGCAAGTGAGTGGACTTTTTCATTTTGTCTTATGAAGTACGCTCTCACTATATATATAGCCCAGGCTAGTCACAGACGTGCCATTCACCTGCTTCTACCTCCCACACTGAGGCTGTAGTCAAGTGACTTAAGTCATTAGAGTCTGGGTTTCCTACAAAGTCTGGAATGATAACTGAAGAGCCTCTCAAGGGTCTCTGAAGATGAATGAGGTGGTACAAGACAACACTCAGCTTGCAGCAGTCAGTACACATCAGCCTTTATACTGTCTCTATGAAGACCATACATTGTGCATAGGCACACAGCACTCAGGAGGCTAAGGCTAGAAGGTCAGGAGTTCAAGGCCAGCCTTGGCTGCATAGTGAGTTTGAAATCAGACCTAATGTAAGATACCCTCATCTCAAAAAAATGAGACAAGCAAAAACAAACAAACAAACAAAAATCTAAAAAAACCTGTCCTAGAATCTCACTTTACTTCCTATTATATTGAAGGGTTTCTGGGGGGTTGAAGAGATGGCTGAGCATTTGAGAGTATTGGTTGCTCTTCCAGAGGCCCAGAGTTCAATTCCCAGTATGTACATGTAGCATACAATGGCATCTACATGGCAGTGTCTATCTCTAGTTCTAGGGGACCCAGTGCCCTCTCCTGGCCTCCACAGGCATTGCTCACATGTGGTACACAGACATGCATGCAAGCAAAATACCCATTCACATAAAAACAATTTCTCTTTTTTTTGGTTTTTCGAGACAGGGTTTCTCTGCATTGTTTTGGAGGCTGTCCTGGAACTCGCTCTGTAGACCAGGCTGGCCTCGAACTCACAGAGATCCTCCTGCCTCTGCTTCCTGAGTGCTGGGATTAAAGGCAGGCATGCACCACCAATGCCCGGCTAAAAAAAAGGATTTCTGTATTTGTGTCTTAAAGGGGCTTTTAAAAATCGTACTTTGAAAACAAAATGTGCTTCAACATGAGTCTGGGCAGAATTTTGACTTCTGGCTAAGACAGCGATAGAACTATGAAAGGAAGTGATAGAGGCTGAGGAGCGTAGCTCAGTAGTAGAGCACTTGCCTAAGTTTAGTCCTCAAAGTCGGGGGTAAAACAGAAAAGAGATGGGAGACACAAGTGTCCGGTCTCCCCCACTTTTTATGGGGAGGAGGTGTGGAGACACAAGTGTCCGGTCCCCCACTTTTTATGGGCAGGAGGTGTGGAGACACTGGATCTGACTGCATAGTCCAGGCTGGCCTTAAACCTAGTTTTCTTGCCTACACCTCCTCAGCAAAGGGATTACAGGCATGAGGCCAATATTTAAATATATGTAAATGATTCCCACACGGGAAAAGAATGGCATTTGTTTAAACAGCTCCCAAGGGCAGATTCAGAAAAACAATGAAGACTCTAAGCAGCAGACTGGGAGAGAATACTGGAAAGGTCCTTCCAATGACCCTGATCATCTCATCCACAGCTGGCTGCCAAACCATTTCTAAACTATCTTTCCAGTTTGTTCAAACCTATGCACAAATTTCCCTCTGTAGTTCCTCCTACTTTCCACCCAATTCCTAGCCATGACTCAAGGTCCTCTTGATCTGTGTGGCCATGCAAGCCTCTGAGTGTCTGAGCTCTCTCAAGTGGTAGCAGAGCTCTGGGGATATCCTGGCTATTTTCAGGTCTCTACTTTGCCTTGTATGGGCTAATCACTCTATTATGGCTCCTGAGGGCACCAGGCTAGCACATAGTGGACAGACATGTATACACAAAAATTAAAAATAAAGCTGAAAAAAAAACTAAAATACTGCTGACAAGACAGCTTAGTGGAGCCTGGCTTGGTGGCCCAGGCCTTTAATCCCAGAACTCAGGAGGCAGAAGCAGGCGGATCTCTGTAGGTTTTACACTGACCTGGTCTACAGAGTTTAGTTACTGGTCAGCCAGGGCTCAGTAGAGACCCTATCTAAAAGAAAAAAAGGGAGGGAGGGGGAAGTAGTAGGTAGAGACACCTGTCACCAAGAAATGTCTCCCACAAATTGTCCTCTGACCTCCACACACATGCCATGGCACATACGTGCCCCTCTCAACAATAAACATCCTAAAAGTCATCCCTTCCACATGAGGTAAAAGCTCAGCCAAAGGGCTTTGTTTTGTTTTGCTTCACTGCTGGTATTATTGGGCTCTTCGCCTGTTGGTAATATTAATAATTTATTTTAGTCTCTTTACTTGAATGTACACCCTAAATGTATACCTTTTCTTTTTCCTGTATCCTCCAGCATAGAATCTGGCTCTCAAAACACACTGATGCCAGGCGTTGGTGGCACACACCTTTAATCCCAGCACTCGGGAGGCAGAGACAGGTGGATCTCTGTGAGTTCGAGACCAGCCTGGTGGTCTACAAAAGCTAGTTCCAGGACAGCCTCCAAAGCCACAGAGAAACCTTGTCTTGAACCCCGCCCCCCCCCAAAAAAAACCACACTGACATGGTGGCCAAGTATTTCCAGAGTCAAGACTTAAATGCATTCTTAGAAAAGTACCCAGGGAGCCAGGTGTTGGTGGCACACGCCTTTAATTCCAGCACTTGGGAGGCAGAGGCAGGCAGATGTCTGTGAGTTCAAGGCCAGACTATTCTACAAAGCGAGTTCCAGGACAGCCTCTAAAGCAATACAGAGAAACCATATCTCGAAAAACCAAAAACCAAAAGAAGAAGTAAACATGTGCTTCCCTGACATATTCCTGGGCCTCTGGGGTCTGCTGACTGCTTTCCTTCACAGGAGAGTCCAACCTTTTGATGTCACAAGGTGATGATGTGGCCTGCCAATGCTGAGTCAAATTCATGGCCATCTTGGGACACATGCAGCCCATAGGCCAAAGGCTGGGCATGCCTGTGTGGCACTAGATGATGTGGTTAGCTTTAGGGGAATATTCATTCAGGTGTCTTCACTAGGTAAACTTTAAAGTTGTTTTTCTTGTAGGGAGGGGGGAGAGGAAACTGAGATTGGAATGTAAAAAATAAATTAATAAAAATGTTTTAAAAAGTTTTTTTTCTTGTCTTTATCGTAAATATCAATCCATTCCCCTGGATCTGCACCAGTTTACTGGAGGAAACAGTTACATGGATACATGTTTTGAGGTTGACAAGGCAGCCATTTCCGCTTTGAAATAAGAGACTGAAGGCTGGGGATATGCTCGATGATAGAGCGCTTTGCCTAGCGTGTGTGACGGTTCAATCCCCATTTCTACTAGCAAGAAGGAAGGATGGAAGGGGCATGTCCTCTACACACTTCACCCCACTGCATGTGCTTATTTATGAGTAATACTTACAATCTGTTCTTGGTTCTGTGGCGAACCGGTGGCACCGTTCAGTATCCACTGTAAGTTCTGCTCTCCCATGACCAGGCTGGACTGCAGGATTGCCGTGTTGGGAGTTGGGGTGATGGTTATGGTGGGATTACTAGTTAGGACAGAGTTGGCACCCAGGGGCAGAGTCTGGACCATAGCAGGCAGGGGCTCAGTAGTACTTTGTGGTGGGGCTGGTGCTGCCACGGCTGATGCCACTGCTGTTGCTGCTGATGCAGGAGCCCCAGCAACAACAGAAAGTCCTGGTACGATGGACTGGGGTGGCACCTGGGGGTGCGGAAGAAACTCTTGATGATTAGCAGCAAACTGTGTGCTGTGGGGAACAGGCACTTCTGGAGGTTGTAAGAGAGCAGGGGGGCCGCCAAATGCAGCTGGCTGGGAACCAGGTCCTAGGGCGGGAGCAGGTGGAGGAGCGGACGGAGCTGAGGCTGGTAGCAAAGGCTGGGGTGGCTCAGAGATGCCAGGCTGCAGTACAAGTGGAAGGGATAAAGATGCTGAATTTCCTGCAGGTGGTGGAACATCATTGACAGACTCTGCGTCACCATTAAAACTTTCAATCAAGGCAGCTGGCAAGGAAAAGAAAAAGAAACATGTATCCATATCCCAAGCGTCACAGGCACCACAAAAAAAGTCTTTATGGGCCTATCACTTCACTGCTAGCTAGCCTGGCTTCCTGATCAAGCACACTTTATAAAGACGGGAACTAAGTAAACAAAACAAAAGTATCCTGTGGCTCTTCAGCAAGGAGAAGAGACAAGCTTTTCGGGATGATTAGTCAGAAGACATCTGGCAGTGGAAAGCTGTACTGTACAGACATTCCATTCCAGCAGTGCTATGCACACGTCAGCAGCCTCATTTGTGGGTCCCACACACTCATGAACGGAGTGGCACACTAAAGGAAAAAAGTTCACAGGTCTCACTGTTCTTTGAAATCCAACAAGAGATTGAAAAGGAGACCTTCCCCGAGCATCATGGGAAGTCAGGAAAGGATGGATTGAAAAGTGAAAACATACCTGTCTGCAGAGGGTCATCCTGAATTGCAGAGTCATCTGAACTCTGGAACATTGATTCAAAGATGATTGCTGGTGAAATTGTGCTGAGGTCCTGGTCCTGGGTCTGACAGGGAGAGAGGTGAGAGTCGTCATCCTGAGAGAGTCTCCCCTTGGGGATATACACAAAGCAGGGGAACTAGAATGACCTTCCTATAGGCTTCAGGCTCCTATCTCCCTTTTGTAGGTACTGAACCCAGTGCCCTCAGACCAGCCTTCCACTCCCGAGCTCAATTTTTTTTCTTTTGAGACAGGGGCTCATTAAATGGCTCAAGCCGGTCTGGAACTGATCCTACTGCCTTGGTCTTTGAGCCCTGGGATCACAGGTGTGGACCATCATGGCCAGTATTCATCTCCACCTCCTGCAAAGGAACATGTGTTTCCCTGCAACTGAGTCATGAAGCATCAGCAGCTCTGCCCTGCAACTGGATGACCAGATTTTGTATGAAGTGTCTCTGGAATGTGGTACACGCACAGGGATGCGGTTTTTACAGTGAATCATCAGACACAAGGAGCTGTGATGGAGACTATGGGCTCTACAAAGCCTGGAATGTTTACTCCAGTGCATTTTAAAAGTGGAGGCTTCTCAGAATGGGATGGGGCTTGGGTGCACCCTGGACCCACATGCTGCTAACAACCATCTGTAACTCTAGTTCCAGGGGTTTTAATTCCCTCTTCTGACCTCCATGGACAATCGTCATGCAGTGTGCAAGCAAAACACTCATGTACATAAAAGCAAATCTAAATCAGCCGGGCATTGGTGGCACACGCCTTTAATCCCAGCACTCAGGAGGCGGAGGCAGGCCAATGTCTGTGAGTTCAAGGCCAGCCTGGTCTACAGGACAGCCTCCAAAACAATACAGAGAACTCTGTCTCGAAAAACCAAAAATAAAGTAAATCCAAATCTTGTAAACCTTGCTTTAAAAGATCTAATCCTACATACAAATGAAATTATAGTCTGAATATTACTGCTATAATTTGCCTCATGGAAACTCTTGTTAAATGAGCCAAAATGATCCCCTTTTAAAAAAACAGAAAGGAACTCATGCTAGGGCTTAAGCCCCATAAAGCTTAGGGAGTGGGGATCAGGTAGGGTCACTGCAGAGGTTAACACTCAGTGCTACTGGCTTCACAAAAAGGGAACAGGTGGCCAGGTGTTGGTGTCGCCCCCCTTTAATCCCAGCACTGGGATCTCTGTGAATTCTAGGACAGGCTCCAAGGCAATACAGAGAAACCCTGTCTTGAAAAAAACGGGAAGAGGCCAGGCCTGACAGCACAACCTTTAATCCAAGCAATTGGGAATCAGAGGTGAGTGGACCTTTGTCAGTTCCAGGCTAGCCTGCTCTACATAGTGAGTTTCAGGGTAGCCTGTCTGAAAAAAAAAAAAAAAAGTAAAGAGACCAGGACATACACATTCAACCTTCCTGCCAGAGAGGCTACCACTAAAGGCAGGGATGGCACACATCTGTTATCCCAGTATACAAGAGTCAGAGACAAGTCCAGAGATAGAAAGTCCAAGGCCAGTCCAGGTTCAAGGCTAGCCTGGCCTACATGTGGAGGATCCTGTTCCCCAAAAATAAAGGAGGGGGATTAAGGACTTAGTATGTAATATGTTTCTCATGTAGGCAGAGTACCTGTGTTTAGATGCCTAGCACCCACACCCCCACAAAAATAAATGAATAAATATAAGCATGATAATAACAGAAGGCAGATACAGTGGTGCATGTGTTTGATCCCAGCACTGGGGAGGCAGAGTCAAGAGGATTCCTGGGGCTTGCTGACCAGCCAATCTAGCCACAATGGTGAGCTCCAAGTTGAGTAAGAGATCCATCCAATCGCAAAAACTAAAGTGCATAGTGACAGAGGAAGACACCTGATGATTACCTCCGCCTCCACCAGAACGAGCATGACTGTACACACCTACACACATACATCCTTCCCATCACGACTGTACACCTGTACGCACGCATGCACGCGCGCACGCGTGCGCGCGCACACACACACACACACACCTGGCCCATCAACTTTGGGCTCCCAGAATCATGAGTCAAAGTAAATTACTTTTCTGTAAAACTTAGTCTGTGGTACTGTGTTATCAGCAATAGAAAACAGACTGAAAAGCTTCCCTGCAGTTTCCCCCTCTTCTGCAGTAGTGACATAATATCTTTCAAGGTCATGACATTCTAATATGTAATGTAAGTAATCAAACCAGTAAGAAATCAAACTAACCTAAGAACTTCAGTGACAAAAAGCCGTGGAAGCCTTATACTTCACATGCCAGAGGCCAAAGCATTTACTAAAAGGTGGAGCTGGAGAGATGGCGCAGTGGTTACGAGTCGACAATGCTCTTTCAGAGCTCAGTTCCCAGTATCCATGTCTCACAACCACCTGAGACTCAAACCCCAGAGGAAGCCAATGCCTCTGGCCTCCCTGAGTAACTGCATATACCTCTCCCACACACACACGCGCACACGCAAAATTTAACGAAATGAAAGGAAGCTACAGTTCTCCTGCCCACTGGCCACCTCAGAATTCTACATGGCAAAGCCATCTGCTCACAAAAGTCTGGGAAAGCAGGGTGACAGAAGGCTAGGGACCGGAAGTCCTGACACCCTGGAGTGGATGCACCTGAGTTGTCTGAAGACTTCAGTCAAATGCATCCTGGAACAGTGTAAGCTTAAACCCCAAAGTTTAAGTCAGGGTTAAAACACAGATTAAAAAAAAAGATTGATTTATTTTATGTATATGAGTGCTCTTTCTACATGTACACCTGCAAAACCAGAAGAGGGCAATCTACTACAGATGGCTGGGAGCCGCCATGTGGTTGCTGGGAATTGAACTCAGGACCTCTGGAAAAGCAGCCATGCTTTTACCCACTGAGCCATCTCTCCAGCCCCTAAAATACAGACTTTATGTGAACTGCAAATAAAATTGAAAGCAATCCACCCGGGCATGGTGGCTCTTGTCTATAGCCACAGAGTCCTGCAGACTAGAAGTAGGCAGGGCTGTTAAAGCTGGCCTGAGCTCCACGGTGAGGTATTGTCTCTAAAGAACAAATTTAAAAATGAGGGTGGAAAAAAGGGCAGGAAGGAGGAAGACAAAGGGAACTTCCGAATGGGTCGGTGGGTAAAGGATAAAGGGATTTGTTACACAAGTGTGAAGATCTGAGTTTGAATACCCAGAAGACACAGAAAAGCTAGACAGCAACATAAGCTTATGCAATCTCAGCATTCCACAGCCAGAGAAAAGGGAGACAGAATCCCCAGGTCAGAACCCAGTGAGCCTGATGGAAAAAACAACAGAGACCCTGCGGTCTTACAACAGGGAAGGCGAGGACCAACACCTGAGACTGAGCTCTGACTTGTACACAGTAGCACTCGTGTGTTCTCCTCAGTAACACATGTGGAGGGAGGGAGGGAGGGAGGGAAGACGGAGAGAGGGCGAGACGGGGGGGGAGGGAACGGACAGAGACAGAGAGAGTTCACTGTAAAAGAAGGGTGTGTGGCTCATGCCTATAATTCTAACACTCAGAGACAGGAGGACTGTTATGAGTTTGAGGCCAGCATGGACTGACTCTGCAGCCAGACCCTATTTCAAAAGAAGACACTGTTACAAATCAAAGTAAAACCTATCTTTGGGTGGGGCTTTGTCCCAGCTGCCATCGTATCTTCCAGGCATTCTACAGCTCTGCTTGTGGGCCAGAGAGCTCAAGGGCTGCCTTGCTGCTGTGCAGACATGGGGACTGGGGCTGTCCCCAGTGTGGAGGTCCTTAATTACAGAGCTGCTTCAGAGGCAATTAGTTATTCTACCCTGACTCCATCTGCTGTAAGAACCAAGGGGAGCCAGGTGTGTGGTGAAGGCCTTTAATCTAAGCACTTGGGAAGCAGTGACAAGAGGATCTCAAAGTCAAAACAAAACCAACAAACAAAAAGAACAAGGGAAAGCACAGTCACTGAAGGGCAGTGTGGAGCAGATGGCAGCGACCTATGCAGCAGGCACCTCTAGTTCCCTGCCCAGCTGAGTCAGGACTCAGGCCAAGGCTGTGACCTTCAGATTCTGCATGTGACCTCAAGAAGTCATGGGGGGGGGAGAGGGAGGGAGAGGGGGGGGGAGAGAGAGAAAGAGAGGGAAAGAGAGAGGGAGAGAGAGAGGGAGGGAGAGAGAGGGAGAGAGAGAAAGGAGGGGATAAAAGGACGGAAGAAAGAAAAAAAGGAAAGGAGAGAAAGAAGGGAAAGGGAAAAAGGGGAAGGGAAGGGAAGGGAAGGGAAGGGAAGGGAAGGGAAGGGACTGACATTGCTGCCTGAGCACATATAATCCCAGCACCATAGGAGGCCAAGACAAGAGAATTCCACCAGCCCTAGTTCCAGAGCAAGATGCCTGACATCTTCCTTTGACCTCATCTGTATAACATGTATGCACACACCACACATACATAAAAGAGAAAGAGAAGGAACAGAAATACTGGTTATAAAACCTAATGCCTTAGTTTTATGTTCTATTCTTGTTTCTAGAGAGACCTTCATTGTGCAGCTCTAGCTGGCCACTAAGTAAATCAACCTTAAACTTGTAGCAACTCTCCTGTCTCTGCTTTCCAAGAGCTGGGATTACAGGTGTGCAACATCACATGGGCTACAATTAAAAGAAAAAAAATTTTTGGCAGCCGGGCGTTGGTGGCGCACGCCTTTAATCCCAGCCCTCGGGAGGCAGAGGCAGGCGGATCTCTGTGAGTTCGAGGCCAACCTGGTCTACAGAGCGAGTTCCAGGACAGCCTCCAAAGCCACAGAGAAACCCTGTCTCGAAAAACCAAAAAAAAAAAAAAAAAATTGGCTTTTCTTTTTTTTTTGGTGGGGGGGCAGTTTTCAAGACAGGGTTTCTCTGTATTGTTTTGGAGGCTGTCCTGGAACTCGCTCTGTAGACCAGGCTGGCCTGGAACACACAGAGATCCACCTGCCACTGCCTCTTGAGTGCTGGGATTAAAGATGTGAGCCACCGTCACTCAGCTACAATTAATTTCTTAAGCTCGGTGTTTTGAGAGAAAAGGCAAACAGAAGCAAGCATAAAGACCAAACCATGAGAAACTCATCGCTCTGTGCTGGTGCCATGGTGTGATGACTCATCAGGCAGCACACTTATGGTATATACCCCTCTGTGCATGTACAACGCTCTTCAATAAAGGTTCCAAAACATAGAAGAAGAAAGAGGGAGGCAGGGAGAGGAAGAGTGGGAGAGAGGGAGGAAGGGTAGGTGCTGAGCCCCCACCAGGTTTCAGAGCAAAACCTGCAGCTGCAGAATTAGTAGGAATGACTCTCCAAAGCAGAGGTGAGGACAGCTGAGCTCTGGGTCAGAGCAGGAAGAACAGCAGGAGCTGTTTAGGTCCAGAAGAGCTCAGAGCTCAGCAACCAAAAGACCCAATGGCCACTCCCTGGTAGATCCAGCCTGTTCTCAAAAGGGTGGAGCAAACCAGGTTCATTTCTAGGACACATATACACATACACCCTTAAGATAATAATCTCAAAAAAAAAAAAGCTGGGTGTTGGTGGCGCACACCTTTAATCCCAGCACTCGGGAGGCAGAGGCAGGCGGATCTCTGTGAGTTCGAGGCCAGCCTGGTCTACAGAGCGAGTTCCAGGACAGCCTCCAAAGCCACAGAGAAACCCTGTCTCAAAAAAACCAAAAAAAAAAAAAAAAAAAAAAAAAAAAAAGATAATAATCTCATACACATTTACCACTTGATTACCCCAATTACTAAGAGATATCACATTAGTCTGACTGTTCCTTGGTTTTAAAGACTGAAAAACTCTTTCCAAATCTGGGCTAAACATTGAGTGCCAAGAGCAAAATAGACTAGGGGATAGGAGTCCTCTCTTGGCACAGGTAACTATGCTGGAAACAGCTGCACTTTTCACAAACTTCCTATGGTTCCCATTTATCAGGTGTCTTCCCTGGTGGCCTCAGAGCTCCCAAAAGCTTCCAAGTCTTATGCCATAGTCCTGGCCAACATGGACTTCTCAGCTATGTGATAGTTAAATGTTGGGCTTCCAGATGGCTCTGTGATAAAGAAGACTGCCCTTGCAAGTCTGATGTTCTCAGTTCAATTCCCCAGGTCCCAGAAGTTGTCTTCTGACCTCTGTATGTGTGCTGTGGCATGTATCCGTACACACAAGTGCAATATTTGTGCACACACATGGACTAAATAAATGTTACAGGAACATTGTACCCAGAAGCCTTAGGTTAGGTAACTCTTGAATATAAACTTCAGAAAATGTGTTCTGTAATATGAATGACAATCATGTGGAATATTCAATGTTTTTCACCTTTGTTCTCCAGCTTAACAGAGGGTTCTCTTCTCTTCATTGTCAAGTCTAACCTAAGAATCTTATCATGTGGCTTCTTTGCATTCCTTCAAGGGCACACATGTACAGGAACACAACATATTGTGGAGAGCAGAGGAGAACTCAGAGCGGTAAATTTCCTATTGATTTTGGAGACTCCAGAGACTAAACTCAGCTCCCCAGGCCTGAGTGACAAGCACTTTCTCCACTGAGCTGTTTTGTTAGTCCCTGGTTTTGAATTATCTGACGTAATTTTCAGTTCTAAACTTACTATTTTTTGTAGCATAGCTCCTTGAATGTACAATCTTGCTACTTGTACCTCACAAGTGTTAGGATCACAGATACTCACTTTAATGCCCAAATATCAAGGTTGGCTTGGTTTACCTTATTTATTTATCAGGAAGAAGGTCTCACTTATACAGTATAGGTTGACCACAAATTATTGGCAATCCTCCTGCCTCCAATTCCCAAGTACTAGGGTTAGAAGCATGTACCATCATACCTGGTTTCATTTTTATTTTATTTTTTCCTGGTTTCATTTTTAAATAGTTCCCATTTCTGCAGTGAGACTTCCTATTTGCATAAACATATTCACTAATGCCCATGAGCAAGTGTTAGATATGAAATCTTCTATCTGGGCTGAGGATTTAGCTCAGTGGTAGAATACTTGCCTAGCATTCCTTAGGCCTTACATTAAACAACACACACACACACACACACACACACACACACACACACACACACACACACACACACACAGAGTGAGGTGGGACGTGGAACTCAGGGCATTGTACTTGCCTAAATCCCTAGCCCCCAAGTACACTTTTGAATATCACTCTCAGCTATGCTGACTCTGTGGTTATAACGGGAGCACAAGCGCATACTCTCTATTTTCTTCTTGCTTAGAGACAGGCCTCACTGTTACTCAGAATTGTCTCAAACTGCTAGGCTCCAGTGATCCTCCTGCCTCAGTCTCCGATCAATGGGACTACAGGATCACCCAGATAAGAACTTACATTCTCACAGGTACCGCTATTGACTCTATTGACCTCCATACTTTAAGAAAAGGTTTTCCAGTTCAGTATGGTGCTCATACAGGTAGTCCCGGCATCTGGATGGCTGTAGAATCAGCCTGCCTAGATTGTCCTAAGTTCAAAACCAGCCTGAACTATACAGAGACTGTCTCAAAATACAAGACAGTTGAGAAAAGGGAGCATTTCCCCCTAACATTTCTAAGTCACTCTTCAGCCTGTGTTTAAACACATTCAGTTACATGATTCATTATGAAGAGTGACAGAAAATCTAGCCTGAGTACAAACCTCAAAATTAGTGTAGGGAAAACACGCAAACAGCTGGATCGCATAAGCTCAGACTTCATGTAGTAGTCTGTTAGCACACTGTGGAACCTGCTCGGTAAGCCCCCTTCAAATGTCCACTAAGGGGAGCTTAAAGAAGGAAACAGCCAAAGGCAGGTGAGACGCAGGGTAGAGACAAGTCCAAGTCCAGGAACCCCAAAATTCTGGCACATTGAACTAGACCCTCAAGTTCCTTGAGGCCAAACCACACATTCCTGGTTGCACTGTTGGCTGCACAGTGGCTACTGGAATGTTACTCACTGAATATTTGCCTAAATTAGTAAAATAAGAAATCTTCTGGGAGCAAAAGACCATTAAACAAATGATCTAGGCCAAAGGCATTCCCAGAGTAGAAAAGGAACCTCCACGTCAGGGACTGAACACAATCAGATCTAGGAGACTTCAGACTGGCCCTCCTTTGTTTTCAAAGAGGAATTCCTCTAGTACCCCTCCTCAGGAACACTTACAGTACTGGAATTTTCTTGCAATTCGGAATCCGTGGACAGAAGGCCCAACTCACTCAAATAAAGCGAGTGATTTGTATCCTGTGAAAGAAAAAAATTGTAATTAAACAACAAATACAATAAATGAAAATTATAGTGGCATATTCCATAATAAAATGCTTGATTACCAAGTCCTTAAGGTTCCAAATGTCTGTATGTGTCACTTAAGAAAGGGTGCACACATCCAAAGCAGGGGCTAAGTAGATAGCTCATTAAAAAGAAAACAAAAGCCAGGCATTGGTGGTGCACGCCTTTATTCCCAGCACTCGGGAGGCAGAGGCAGGGGGATCTTGAGTTCGAGGCCAGCCTGGTCTACAGAGTGAGTTCCAAAACAGCCTCCAAAGAATACAGAGAAACCCTGTCTCAAGAAAAAAAGAAAGAAAGAAAGAAAACAAAACAAACTTAAAAGAAAAATCCTTCCAATATTCTTATTAGAATATATACATTCCACCTCCAGTTCTTCTGAGGCAAGATGTCACATAACCCAGCATGGCTTCCAATTCTCTATACAGCCAGAGATGATCTTGAATTTATGACCATTCTGCCTCTACCTCCTAAGTGCTGGGACTGAAGGTACGAGACACCTGCTCAATTCTTTCTTTCTTTCTCTCTCTCTCTCTTTCTTTCTTTCTTTCTTTCTTTCTTTCTTTCTTTCTTTCTTTCTTTCCAAAGATTTATTATGTATACAGTATTCTTTCTGCATGTCTACCTCCAGGCCCGAATACCAGATCTCATTACAGATGGTTGTGAGCCACCATGTGGTTGCTGGGATTGAACTCAGGACCTCTGGAAGAACAGTCAGTGCTCTTAACCTCTGAGCCATCTCTCCAGCCTCAATTGTTTCTTAAAGTGGTTAATAGGTGTTTGTTGTTGTTTTAAGTTTAATTTTATGTGTGTTTTGTCTCCATGTATGTCTGTGTACTATGTGTGTGCTTGCTGTTCAAGGAGGCCAGAAGAGAGCTTTGGATCATTTGAGACTTGAGCTACAGACTGCAGTGAACCTCCATGAGGGTGCTGGGAATCAAACCCAGATTCTCTGGAAGAACAGTTAGTGCTCTAAACCTTTATGATTCAAGATGCAACAACAAAAAAAAGCATGAAATCAGTAATATTTGTAAAATTTCTCTCATCACATATAAAGTGATTTTACATACTCATTTATTATTCAAATAAACTGGAGAAGTATTATTTAATACTCTCATTTGAAATATGAGAAAATCGATGCTATGACAAGGGAGTGATGTGTCCAATTTGTAGCTAATTAACAGACGACAAATGTAGTGCTTCTGGCCGAGCAGTCAATTCTCCTTCCCTTAGTGTCTCCACTCGGGCTCCCCAGGTCCTCCTCAGAATGCTGCTGAGGGTTAACTGCTCAAATCCTGCTGCTCAGGCCATTCTGAACTCTGGATTCCTGAGCCACAATCCTTACCCTAAAGTGGGATCCTGCTTGTATTCAAGTGGGTCCCACACTCGCACCAATGGATGCATTCAACACACACAAACGCCCTCACTTATGCAGTCTGCTTTTCAGTTCCAGCTATCCATGGTCAACAATGAGTCAAAACTAAATCACAGAAATAAACTATCCCTGAGTTTCAAACTGCATACCACTGAGGAGTATGACGAATTCTTGGGCCATCCTATCCCATATCTCCCATATAGCCAAGGCCCTACCCGCACCAGTCACTCAGTAGTTGCCCAGGGCACCAGATCACTTGTCTTGGTGTTGCTGGCTTATGTTTAAGTAATCCTTTTTCTTTTCAAAAAAGATTTATTTTTATATCTATGTTTCAGAGCATTTCATTTGTATGTAAATAAGTTCTGGGTGCCTTAAGGCCAGAAGAGAGCTCCAGATCCCTTGGAACTAGTATTGTAAGCTACCGCTTAGGTGCTGGGAATCGAACCTGGGTCCTCTGCAAAAGCTGCAAGTGTTCTTAACTGCTGAGTCACAACTTGAGCCCCAGCAACACTTACTATCACTAACAATGGCCCCAAAGCACAAGAGCGCTACAGCAACTGAGTGTTAGAAACTGTTCCAGGCCAGTAATAAACAAAACAGTCTCTGTACCTATCAGACTTCCATTCTAGTGAAGACCAGGAAGAAGAAGAAAAAAAGACAGCACAGGCTGGGCGGTGGTGGCACACACCTTTAATCCCGGCACTCAGAGGGCAGAGGCAGGCCTCTGGCTGATGTAGGTAGGGCAGCCTGTGGAAGCTTGGCCGACACAGAGGTCCTAAACAAGGAATAGCACAATCCAGGGACACAACATACGCAGAATGACAGGGAAGATACCAGGAAAATGACCAGATAGAATCCTGTCTGGAAGACAGCTTTTGTCCGTCTGTTTTGTTGTCTCTCAGAGCCCAGTCAGGCTTTGGAACTCATGCTCCTCCTCCTCTTACACCCCTAAATGCTGGGATTACAGGCACATCCATCACACTTGGCTAGACTCTAGACATATTCTCTTGGCAGAGGGGACAGACTGTGTTAGTGGCTGTGGGATGTAAGACGAAACTCCATGACTTGGACCTCCACTAGAGAAACCTAGCTGCCTATGCTACTACATACATGCTGCAGGAGAAGCATGTCTGGACAGGTCGGGTTATAGAAGATCAATATTATCTGGGTGAAGATGTCAATGGGAGGCTGGACAGACCCAGGTTGGCACTGTCAGTGTGAAACTCGGGGCATTGCCTCAGATCAGGAGTCACCCTTTTACAGAAAGCAGGGGATGCAGGGATTCGCTCTTACAAGACCAAACACTGGTACACGCAAGGCTCAGTGTAATGACTATTTTTGGTTACATCTGGAATTAACTAACCCTCCAAACCAAAACCAAAAACAAAACAAAAAAAAACCATAAAAACAAAAACTGGACACACCTGTGAGGGATTTCTGTTTGTGTATGTGTGTGTATAACTGGATCATTTGAAGTGGAAAGATTCATTTCTTTCTTTTTTTGTTTTTCCAGACAGGGTTTGTTTCTCTGTCTTGTTTTGGACCCTGTCCTGGAGCTCGCTTGGTAGACCAGGCTGGTCTCAAACTCACAGAGATCTGCCTGCCTCTGCCTCCCAGTGTTGGGATTAAAGGCGTGCACCACCACCACCCACATTACCATTCATAACAGTAGCAAAATTACAGTTATGAAGTAGCAAGGAAAATAATTTTATGGTTGGGGGTCACCACAACATGAGGAACTATATTAAAAGGTTGCAGCATTAAGAAGGGTGAGAACCGCTGACCTTTTGAGGCGGGAAGATTCACCTCTAATCTGGGCCTATATAAAGGACATGGAAGATGGAAGCTCTCTTTTGCCTGCCTCCTCCTACCCTTGCTACCAAGTCCATTTCACTGGCATTAGAGCCTACTTCTTCAGGATTCTGGCGCATACTAAGACCAGCTGAGACATCCAGCCTTGTGGACTGAAAAAAATACCGGATTCTTGCACTTTCTGAGGTGTATGTATGTATATGTATGTGTGTATATACATGTATGTAAGTATACTGGTTAGTACACTCAGTGTCACTTACAGTTCAAGTCTCTGTGCTGCTACGAAACAAGAACCCGATTCTGACCTAAAGAGAGCAGTTCTTGCCCGGTTTATCAGATGAAGAACCTGAGGTGCCCAGAAGTAGCTACCTCAGGTCATGCTCTTAGTGACAGAAGAATGGCTTGAACTGGGGCTGGTAAGCACAGAAGCTACCCTCTTCATAACTAGCAGCACCTTGTCTCAGCAATGCTGACTTAAGAGACTGGCACTGGAGTCACAGTGTCTGCCTAAGTCACGCTCATATCAAGCTATGCAGACCTTGGCAAATTATTTAATTTCTCCTTGCTCTAAGGTTTTTGGTTTTGTTTTGGGTTTGTTTTTTCCAGACAGGGTTTCCCTGTGTAGCTTTGGAGCCTGTTCTGGAACTAGCTCTTGTAGACCAGGCTGGTCTCGAACTCACAGAGATCCGCCTGCCTCTGCCTCCCAGTGTTGGGATTAAAGGCGTGCGCCACCACCACCTGGCTGCTCTAAGGGTTCTTAATCAGTAATGTGGGAATGGTGACAATATGAAGTTGTGAGCAAGGCAGCACCTAGAACAGACTCAGGCACATACTCAACATTCAGCCAATACTAGTTACTACAGCCTTACTAACAACTCAGAGTCCTTCCATGGCTTATTTTCTGTGTTGGGGGCGGTGCCACAGCACACATGTGGAGGTCAGAGAACAACTTGCAGGAGTTGGGTCCCTCCTTCACCATGGCTTAGGGAATCACACTCAGGCCTCAGCACCTTGACCCACTGAGCCGTCTAACCAGCACTGAGAAAGAGCTTTAAAAAGGACCCTTGTTTAAAAACTAGAAACCACAGGCTTCTGAGTGTGCCGCCTCTCGAAAAATATACAGTTTATTTCATACTGCCTGAGTTTCGTTGTTCCAAAGGGGACCGATGAATAAGTTAGCCTGGAGCTGGGGGAAATCCAGGCGGGAGGACTAAAAGCAGTAGAGATGGTCCCTGCTGCCCCAGGCCAGGCAGAGAGCCTCTGGCAGAGAGTGAACAGGGAAGGATCCAGAGCACATGAGGTGGCCGTCTGGGGAGTGGGGAGAATGGGAAACCTACTTAGCCATTCCAACACTCTGGCAAAAAGCAGAAGTGGATCAATCCCAGATCATTCTAAGGGAGAGTTGACCACACCCTCAACGAGCCCCATCTCTTCATCCACAAAGTAGGGAGATAATGGATTACTCACTTTCTAGTGCTAACAGATATGGGTCACCAAACCTACCAAACTAGAAAGAGCAAGAGGGCTGGCAAGATGCTTAGTAGGTACAGGCTCCTGCTACCAAGGCTGTGGCCTGAGTTCAATCCTTGTGCCCCACATGGTGGAAGGAGAGAACCAACTTCCATGACTGCACTCCAATTAAAATGTCAAAAAGAAAGGGCAAGCAACAGTTACCATCCTAAGATCTTTCTAAAATGGAGCTGTAGGAGAACAAGATGGACAGACTTAGAAAGAATAACAAATGGAGCCGGGCGGTGGTGGCGCCCGCCTTTAACCACAGCTTGGGCGCTGGGCGGTGGTGGCGCCGGCCTTTAACCCCAGCTTGGGTGCTGGGCAGTGGTGGCGCACGCCTTTAACCCCAGCTTGGTACAGTTCCAGGACAGCCTAGGCTGCAAAGAGAAACCCTGTCTTGAAAACCCAAAGGGACAGGGAGGTGGGGGAACAAAAGGAAAAAGGATAACAAATGAGAGGGCTCAGAGTTTAAGAGAGAGATGGCTCAATGGTTAAGAGCACTTGCTGTTCTTGCAGAGGACCCAGGTTCAATTCCCAGCACCCACACGTGGTTCTCAACCAGCTGTACCTCCAGTTCCAGGGGATCTAATGCCCCCTTCTAGCTTCCAAGAGTACCAAGCACACAGGTAGTATATATATACACATGCAAGTAAATACCCATCCACATAAAATAAAAATATCTAAAACAAACAAACAAAAAAAAACAACAAAGCAAACCTCCTAAAACTTACAGGGCCCCCCTCTGCAGCTCAGTGTCTTAAGGCAGGTGCTCTCAAACCTTTTATTCTTCAGACAATCAAAGGGCAGGGAACCCTCCAGACTAAACCTGGCTTTCTGATTTTGACAAACATGTGAGGCAATATTAGTTTCCATTCCAAACATAGTACAAACTTATCACCTACTGCAGTCACAAACATACCATGTCCATAATACCAGTATATGAAAGACTGAGGTAGAATTACCATGGGTTCGATAAGACTTTTGTCTCAAAACAAAACAAAACTCCAAACCACTGGGCTGGAGTGATAGCTCAGTCCATAGATTTCAAGCCCCCAAACCTATGGTTTTTTGTTTTTTTAAAGCTGGGGGCGTGGTGCACACTTATAATCTGTACACTGGGAAGACATGAGACAGGACTCCTGAAGCTCTCTGGATGGTCAGCCTAGTCTACTTAGCAAGATCCATGCCAACGTGAGAGCCTGTCACAAAAGAATAAAAGGAGAGGCACAGACAGCAGTTGAAGAGCAGCACTTAAGCACATCCTCTGAGCTCAGGCGGTGGCATGTGAGGGCTATGCTACCCAATATGTACCCTTACATCCATGAACACACATGGGACTGGGGGCACCAACTCTGCCTAGGCCTTGGAAAGCCAGTCAATGGCACCTTCAACCCACGCCTGCTGGACAGGAACACAGCAGGGCTCAGCAGATGAACAGGGAGGCTAAGTGACATTTTTGGCTCTCACCATGCCATGGCAGAGGCACACAGATCCTAACTCATTTTTTCCCCCTCTAGGTAACAGAAGACTCAACAGCTGCAAACAACTTCCGCCCTGCGGTGTCCAGATCAGATTGGAGAGAAGAGCATACCTCTGACCCGTTGTGCTGTGGAAGTGCACTGTATGCGGTTCCTTTGTTATCGTGACCTTTCATGTGACTTTTGAGACTGTACTGAGTGCTAAATGTCTTCTCACAGCCATTACTGGGGCAGAAGAAGGGTCTTTCGCCTGCAGGAATGAAAAAGTCATGTTAGTTTCACCACCAGGCAAGCTCTCCCTTCTAACCCAGAGAAGGTCTGAACAAGAGCTGTTGCCAACTAAACCAACCAGTGTGGACTTTTCCATTTAAAACCCATTGAGAGGAGAGCAGCAGCAGTGGCCTGTGCCTCCTGGAGGCCTACAGAGAAGGCTGCTGCTTCCTCACACCTCTCCCAAAGGTTATCTGGTTTTATGGCTTCAGGCTGAATTCCTGACTCAGTCCTTACACCCTTCATAAAGAGACACAGGCAATATAGGCGAAAGCCACGCTGACTGTGCTCCCTCTCTCTTCCTCGCTTTACAGGTTTCAAGAGAAACCTGGCCAGGTCTGCTGAAGTTTAAAGGAAAACTGGAAATAATGCCAGGCATGGCAGCCACACCTTCAATCTCAGCTCTGAGGTGTCAGAGGCAGGTTGAACTCTCCAGTTCTAGGCTAACCTGGTCTACCAAAGCAGTTCCAGGACAGTCAAGGCTACACAGAGAGATCCTGTCTTAAAAACCAAAAACAAGAAAAAAGAAAAGAAAAATGGAGATCAGCCTCCACTTACCAGTGTGCGTACGGACGTGAGTTTTAAGGTGGTGGCTTGCTGCAAATGCTTTTCCACAGCCATCATGATCACATCTAGTTGTTTAAGAAGAGACAAGCGAGAGTCATTCGGTGAGAGAGCTTTATTTTGCCTGGGAATCTTGTGCATGCACACTAGAGCAATGTGTGGAACACTAAGATCACATCCGTCATAGCTGTTTTAGAGATGGGAATGAGAGCACTTGGGAAGAAAACAAAAACACGGGTAGAGGTGCCACCAAGCCTGATGTTATGGGTTCGAGTCCCTGGAACCCACATGATAGGAGAGAAACAATCGTATCAAGTTGTCCTCTGATTGTGTGTACTGACACACACACTAAAATAATGAATTAATAAATAAATCGATGTAACAAAAAGGGAAAGGAAAAGTGGCAGATCTGGAATGAGTAGGAGCTGAGAGTCCGAGATAGGCATCTCTTGGCCTCTCGGTAAGGCAAGTGTTGAGAGTATCCCAACACTAAAAATCTAAGTAAGCTGGGGCAGTAGTGGTGCATACCTTTAATCCCAGGACTTGGGTGGCAGAGGCAAGTATATCTCTGTGAGTTTGAGGCCAGTCTGGTCTACAGAGCTAGCTCCAGGGCAGCTAGTGCTATTGCTACACAGAGAAACCCTGTCTCGAAAAAAAAAAAAAATCTGACCAAGCAAAGGACAGAACTGTGCTGACAGTGAGAATCTACAAAGAAAATCTATGGCCACTGAATTATTATGCATACTAAGGGTGGGTAAAGAGAGTTGGGACTATAAACACATATCTGTAATTCTAGCACCCAAGAGGATAGGGCAGGAGGAGGAGACTCATAAATTCACAGATAGTTAGGCTACAGAGTGAACCCTGTCTCAAAAGGGTGTGTTGTGTACACACACACACACACACACACACACACACACACACACACACACACACACACACACAGGTGCATGGAGCTGGAAAAACAGAATAAAAACATAAACCAAACCCAAAGCACTTGTGTGGCTGTAGTCAAGAACTAACCATAATCCTCAGTACTTAGCTGATCCCCTCCACATCTCAGACAAGGTCTCACACATCTCAGGTTGGCTTTGAATTCACTCTGCAGCTAGGATTACAGGCACCACTATACCTGGTTTATGCAGTGCTAAAGCTTAAAACCAGGGCATCATGAATGCTAGGTGAGCTACACTCCTGGGCCCCGCATACTTTCTTGATAATCAAAGCCAGGAATAATCTTCACCTCCTCAGGATTACTAACATATTTACCACATGCTTCCTTTAAGGCATCTCTCCTTTCCAATCTTTTTTTTTTAAGATTTATTTATTTATTATGAATACAACAGCCTGCCTCCATGTCTGTCTGCAAGCCAGAAGAGGACACCAGATCTCATTATAGATGGCTGTGAGCCACCATGTGGTTGCTGGGAACTGAACTCAGGACCTCTGGAAGAGCAGTCAGTGCTCTTAACCTCTGAGCTATCTCTCCAGCCCCCCCTCCCTCATTTCTAATCTTATTTCATCTCTGTGCACATCTGGGGACAGCATGTTTGTCTGAGACAGGGTCTCACTATGTAGCCCTGGCTGGTTTGGAACTCACAGATATCTGCCTGCCTCTGCATCCCCATGCTGAGATCAAAGGTGTGTACCACCATGCCAGATGTGTGCATACTTTTTTTGTATTTTCTCAAGAGCAGGGTCTGTGTAGTTCTTTACATTGTTTTAGTTTTTATATAGCGACAACTTAATACTTACATATATGACCAAATAGGTTTTCTTATATATCTAAACATCTTATTTATTTAAATAGAGTTTCTTTAAAGCCTTTTGGTTTTTAATCACATATAATCATCTCTGTATCTATTTAGGTCTCCTCTAATATTCACGACAAAACTGTTTTAATCATCACAAAAATAAATGCACATATCTGTATAGAAATAAAAGCCCTCTTAGCAACCTGGTAGGGGTGATTAAATACCTGCAGAGTAACCAATTAAACTGTACCTTCCTGTTCTTAAAGGAGCTGAGACTCAGGAATGTATCTGTAATTTAACATCTCAATTCCATTTAATTGGTATCTAAGAGCTAGCTGCTTCTGGAGACTTCAAATGCCTCCAAGTGTGCGAAGGAGGACGGGTGACTTGAAAATGGAATGGTGGCATATTGATGTCATAACTTTAAGCAGTATCCCCTGTCTGAATTCAAGGACATTGTTTATGAGAAATCTTCAGCAATACTTAAAACTCAGTTATGGGGATCCTTACAAACTGATTACCTTTTAAAAATGTTGTATAATCATCCAAGGCTGCTTCTAAACACTTACTGAGTGCCTGGGACCAAGCCACATGTTACATGCCATTCGTGGAAAAAGAGGATGAGTGCAAGCCGCCTCACGCTTTCAGACCTATCTACTGTGGATGATGCTGCTAGGGAGATGATTCAGTGGTTAAGAACATTTACTGCCTCATAGAGGACCCAAATTTAGTTCCAGCTCCAGGGCATCTGATAATATGAGTATCAGCACACATATGACATGTACTCACACAGATACACACTTAAAAATAAAATTTTAAAATGTGGTTTTGGGGCTGGGGAGATGGCTCAGCTCTTCCAGAGGTTCTGAGTTCAGTTCCCAGCAACCACATGGTGGCTCACAACTTTCTATAATAGGATCTGATGCCTTCTTCTGGAAATATATATACAGAGAACTCATATATAAAGTATAGATAAATTTAATTTTTAAAAAAATATGGATTTTGATACACAAAAACATGTGGCTCTATATGTATACAAACACGAAATATTAAAAGCAACAGCAAACAAGTAACAGAGTCAACCATGTAGACCACTAAGCTAAGCCTCCTACCCTCGCCTTCCCTCATGAGCATGCGCAGAAACAATTTAAGACCCTTTCTCAAATAGGCCTCCCTTCTCCATGCTCAAGCCACTTTGGTTGATAGCTCAGACACTGTCTACAACTTGTGGCTCTTCTCCACTCAACTTAGGATGTTTTGTTTTGTTTAGGGGGAAAGGGTGTTGACACAGGGTCTCACTCTGTAGCTCAGGATACCTCCCCAGCCCTTGAATAAGGATCTCAGTACTTCCCTAGTACAAAGAAAAGTATCTACCATATAAGGCAGCTTCAACAAACACCCTTTAAAGAATACAGGGAAAAATGAAGCAGAACAGCCAGCTGTCACCCAGGGAAAGAGTCCACTTATACTCCTCCAACCCACAGCAGGTGGTCACCGATACAACACCACCTAAGATGGAAATGGGTAAGGCAGCTTTCTTCCTACTTTGACAACTTCCTAGAGTCTATCAAGATACCCAGCTGAGACCTGGTGAGTGACAAATAGAAAACATCAAGACCTACCGAAATGGCTTTTCTCCTGTATGGGTTCGAATGTGCTTCCGCAGATCACTGAGTGTGGTGAAGTACTTGCTGCAGCCTTGAGATTCACAGTTAAACGTTTTCCCTGTGTGAAGCCTCTGATGTGCTTTCAACCTGCAAAATGTCCCAGAGAAATGCCCCATGCAGAATGTACCACAAAGCCTCCCAGTGCCAGCTGAACACACTGTAGGACCAAGTGCACCAGAATGTTGTACCAATGCACACTGGCATCTGAAACTCAGCCAGGGAGGAACGCAGACATGGAAATAGCACAGTGGCATGAGCATTACTCAGGGGCAGATTCCTCCCAACCAGGTGCCCTACAGAACTGCTCTGTACTTCTGTTTACTTAGCAGGTGTTCCGGGGACCAGCACTTAGAATTGCGCCTTGCACACTGCACACGTCAGTGCTAGCCATTATTTTTTCTTCCACCAAGTATTAACCAGGCCCAACCCTGCCTGGCTTCTAGGACTGACCAAACAAGATCAGGCACTTTCAGGATGGTATGGTCTGTTATTTTATGCCTAATACAGAAGATTTATGTAAGTCTCCTGACATAAACATTGAAAAAGAAATAGACATCAAGTGGGCAAGCTCTCATCTCTCAGGATAGAAGAAAGTTATTTCAAAGGCTATATGCCAACTTAGCCTTGTGCCAGTGAGAAGACTACTCTATGCCAACTACTAAAATCCCAAGGCTATGATGTCACTCCTTGAGATGCAAACCTACACACAGATGTGCCAACACATCCACCCAGTTCATGGTACACCTGTTTTTAAGTAGTAGGTTCTGACAATGCATTTTAAGTAGGTGAATACAGCTATGCTCTCCCAATGTGTCAAAAGCTGTCATATGCAAGGAGAAAGTGCTGTCCCAAGCTCAGAGTCAAGAGGCTGGCGGTGCCATGGAGAGGCTGACCTGTACAGTGTGTTGAATGCCTTCTCACAGCCCTGCACATCACACTCAAATGGCTTCTCCTTTGTGTGCACTCGCACATGGATCCTGAGGCTGTAGGAGGTGAGGAAGGCCTTGCCACAGCCCTCCTGATTACAGACGAAGGTGTACTCTCCTCGGTGAGTCTTCTGGTGGGTGCGTAGGTTGCCTGCTGTACTGTAGGTGCGGGGGCATCCCTCAAAGGTGCACTGGTACCGCTTGACCTGACAGAGGACATGGGATACCTTATCAGAAGGGGAAAACCGCTGCCCAGATCTTACCTCTCCACCCTGAGACAGGGACTCTTGAAATACAAGTCGACAGCAAACTTGTAGCCTTAAACATCTGATCCTCCTGCTTCCGCCTTATGAGAGCTGACATGTGTGCATCAGCACATCCAGATTTGCATACAGTGCTAGGGATTGAACCAAGCTTGGGGTATGATGGCATGCACTTGACTAACTGAGCTACATCCCAAGCCCTAAGTCTATCTTTCTAAAAGCTGTTGTAGGCAGCTAGAGAGATGGCTCAGCAGTTAAGAGCACACCCTGCTTTACAGAAGGCCTAAACTCTCAGAATTCACATTCGGCAGTTCACAACCGCCTATCACTCCAGCTATCGGGTCTCCATGGGTACCTGCACTTGCCCTGCAAATACCCACACACAGCCATAAACACACGTGTAACTAAAAATTGTATATACATGGGGGCTGGAGAGATGGAGGTCCTGAGTTCAGTTCCCAGCAACCACATGATGGCTCACAACCATCTATAATGAGATCTGGTGCCCTCTTCTGGCATGCAGACATACATGCAGACAGAACACTGAATATGTAATAAATAAACCTTTTTTAAAAAAATTGTATATACATCTACATAATTTTTTTCAAGACAGGGCTTCTCTGAATAGCCTTGGCTGTCATTGAACTCACAGAGATCTGCCTACCTCTGCCTCCCAATACTGGGATGAAAGTATCCTATCACCGCCTAGGATAAACTTTTAAAATAAATAAAATACAAGCTGTTTAAGGATTAAGAAAAATTTGCTGGGCAGTGGTGGTACATGCCTTTAATCCCAGAAATCAGGAGGCAGAGGCAGACTAATCTCTGTACGTTTGAGGACAGCCTGGTCTAGAGGAGACCCGGTCTCAAAAAAACAAAAACAAAAACACCAAAAGGATTAGCAATAATTTCTGTAAGGTATTTTAATACAATAACTGACACATATAGTATCCTATAAAATAGCTCATACCACAGGACAAAGGGTGTGTGTGTGTGTGTGTGTGTGTGTGTGTGTGTGTGTGTGTGTGTGTAAGGATTCAGGCATTGTGCTGGTCTGCCCCTGTCACCTGGCAGAATGCACTCAGGCAGTACCCTAGTCAACCCTATAAAATACCACAAGGCAAAGGGGGTATGTGTGTGTGTGTGTGTGTGTGTGTGTGTGTGCACGCGTGTGTGTGTATGTGTGCTTGTGTAAGGATTCAGGCATTATGCTGGCCTGCCCCTGTCACCTGGCAGAATGCAATCAGGCAGTACCCTGGTCAGCCCAGGTGCAAAGGACCCTTTAAAAGAAAGACTTCCGCCGGCGTTGGTGGCTCACGCCTTTAATCCCAGCACTCAGGAGGCAGAGGCAGACAGATCTCTTATGAGTTTGAGGCCAGCCTGGTCTACAGAGCAAGTTCCAGGACAGCCTCCAAAACAATACAGAGAAACCCTGTCTCGGGAAAAAAAAAAAAAGACTTCCGCTCACTTAGATTCTCTTTCCAGCTCCCCTCTTTCTGGGTCCTCTTTCCCGCTCTCTTCCCTGAGGTTCCCCCGGGGCAGAAAAGATTTCTCCTATCTCCCTCTTCTCTTCTGTCCTCTCTCTGTGTCTCTACCTCTTTTCTCTTCCCATCCCCCTCCCTCCCCTTTCTAAAAAACTTCCCACTATAGCTCTGTCTGCCTGGCATGTTTGTCCCTCCACCTCAGGCACCCTCGCCTGCCGTGGAATCCGCCAAGGTCCCCCACTCAAGTTCCCCACAAGTTTTATTATAACAGGGGGAGCACACAGCATTTAACACACTAACTAGTAAAGGACTTGGTAAGCCAATGGGAGAAAGAGCTAGAGCAAGGAACGTCACAGCAGCTGAAAGAAAGAAGGGTCTCATGGAAAACAAAAGGGTCAAAACGATAAATGTCCGAGTAAGCAAAGGGTGGGCCAGGGAAAACCACCAGTCCCCACCCCACCCCCGACACACACACACCAGTCCCCACCCCCGACACACACACACACACACACACACACACACACACACACACACACACACACACACGGGTTCCCTAATAACTCAGCGAGACCCAGGGAAAACCAGCAGTCCCCACCCCCACCCCGACACACACACACACACACACACACACACACACACCACACGGGTTCCCTAATAACTCAGCGAGACCCAGGGAAAACCAGCAGTCCCCACCCCCACCCCGACACACACACACACACACACACACACACACACACACACACACACACACACACACACACACACCACACGGGTTCCCTAATAACTCAGCAAGACCCTGCAGGGCTGGGGCGGGAGTCTGGATAGTAATGAAATGAAGGCAGAGTGAGCAAAGCCAGAGCCAGTACTTCTGGGCTGAGCTAAGGGCTTATTTCTGGAGGGGGAAAGCGCAAGGGCTAGGGTGGTGGTGTGTACCTGTAGTTCTAGCGCCTACCCGGGAGCTGAAGCAGGAGGAATTCTGAGTTTGAAGCCAGCCAAGGCTGCATTAGAAAACTCTGTCCTTAATGTCTGAGCTATCACACACCCCTACCCACCAACAAAGGGAAAATTCCTAGAGAAAAGTGAATGAAGGCCTCAAAAGGAACACACAAATGAGAAAGAATTTAAAAGTTCCATGGGGTGGGGTGCAGCTTAGTGATAGAGTGCTTGCTTAAAATATGGTGGGAGGTATCCATGGGGGCACATGTCTTTAAACCCCACATTTGAGAGGCAGACTTTAGGTAGATCTCTCAGTTTGAGGCCAGCCTGGTCTGCAAAGCAAGTTCAGGGACAGCTAAGACTACACAGAGAAATTCTGAGCTGGTTTAAAAAAAAAAGGGGGGGGGTCGGCAGTGGTGGTACACACCTTTAATACTAGCACTTAGGAGGCAGAGGCCAATCTGGTCTACACAGTGAGTTCCACAATAGCTAGAACTATTACACAGAAAAACCATGTCTCAAAAAACCAAACAGAAAAAAGAACACATGGTGTGACTCCTGGGTTTGATCTTGGCACAGAGATGACAAAATAAAGGCTGGGCGGAAAGACAGTCTCAGGAAGGAGACCATGACCATTCTGTTTCAAAAAGGGTGGTTGAGCCAAGGATGGGTGGGTGTAAGTCAGGGGTGGACAGTCTTCTGTCAAGTGTCAAAGAGAACATATTTTGGACTTTATGGTCTCTGTCACTATATAACCCTTGCCCTGCATGTTACAAGTAGTCACAGACAAGTAACTGAACACATTACCATGTTCCAAAAATATTCATGGACACTGAAGAATGAATTTCATACAATTTTCATGTGTTATGAACTATTATTTTTATCTGAAAAAGATCAATAAGAACTGTTAACTGGGACAGGGAGGGTGCAGCTCACAGGTAGAGTGCTTTCCCAGAATGCATGAAGCCCTGGATTCCGTTCCCAACAAGACATAAACTGGGTGTGCCTGGAATCTCAGCACTCAGGATCAAAAGTTCAAGGTTGGCCAGGTGTGGTGGCCTTGATCGTTGGGTTTGGAAGCTTAGAGGCAGATCAGTTTCTGTAAGTTTGGTATCAGTCTGGCTCACATAGAGAGAGTTCCAGGCCAGTCAGGGCTATACAGTGAGATTCTACCTCAAAAATAAAAAAATAAATTCAAGATCATTCAGTCATTCTTAGCTATACAGATTATCTAGGCCAGTGTAGGCTGAGAACTTTACTTAAATAAGATACAATAAGCTGGGTAGTGGTGGTACATGCCTTTATTCCTAGCACTGGGGAGGCAGAAGCCAGCCTGGTCTACAGAGTGAGTTCCAGGACAGCCAGAGCTATCGAACAAAGAAACCCTGTCTCAAAAAAAATAAAATAAAATAAAATAAACAAAAACTGAGGCCAGAGTTGTGGCTCAGTTAGTGTTTGTCCAGCAGGCTTGAGGCTCTGGGTTCAATCCTCACAGCTAATGAAAACACTGTCTGGGGCTGAAAAGTTGTTCTTGGTTAAGAGCACACAATTCCCAACACTCATGGACTCCAAAGTCTCTGCCCTTCACAGACACATAAAAAATTAAAGACTTAAAAACAAGCAAACAACATTCTTAGCTCTAGATTAGTGATTCTCAACTTTCCTAATGCTGTGGCCCTTTTAATACAGTTCCTCATACTGTGATGATCCCAACCACAAAATTATTTTTATTGCTACTTCATAATTGTAATTTTGCCACTGTTAAAATAATAATGTAAGTATCTGTCGTTTCCAGTGGTTGCAGACAACCCCTTTGAAAGGGTTGGTTGACCCCTAGGGGTTGAGACCCACATGCAGAGAACCAGTACGCTAGAGCTATCCAAAACAACTAGGCTCACAAGGGATTTAGCCTGTCAGCTGGTTTGTTACACAGGGAAGGGAGGGGCTTCTTCCCCTTGGCTCCTTCCTCCCCCCACCCCACCCCTTCTTCTCTCTCTAACTTCCAACAGGACCTGGCACACGCTCTCGCTCACCTATTCACGGGTCACCCTCCCACTATCACACAACACAGGCTGTGCCCTGTACTCCCTGAACTGACTCACTTAGGCCTACGTCTGCGTGCTCGGCATGGCCTCTCACCAAAAAGTCCCAGTGTCCAGGCAGGATAAAGGGTATTCCCAGGGCCTTTCAACACTTTCTGCTGGATGGCTGTATGACTCAGGAACCAGGCGAGCAGGAGGGTCAGCCTAGGCCTACAGGCAGAGCACACTCATCCTTAGTCTCTCAGTTCCCACCCCTTTCCTGTGCCCTTTTCTCCCTTTACTGGAAATGTCTAGTTCCTTTCTTTGCTTTCCTGAGCCTCTCTCTTCCTTTAATTCAAGTCTCACTCCTTCTAAGGTCCTCCATAATCCTCCCTGTCTATCCAACGTGCCCTTCTCTAAATGTCAGTGTTATGTAAGCTAACCACTCACTCACTCACTCGACACTTATTTACATTGGTAAGTAGCCTCTCATGTACATGTG